ATATTTTTCAGTAATTTTTAACCAATAATTCTTAAAGTGAGTAGCTGAGTTTTTCTTCCTAAATACACCAACAGAAAAGCACTAACACTGAAGTTTGTTCATCTCCTAAACTTAAAAGGTTACATTTTGCTTCTGATATCCCAGATGTTAGCCTTCTCCTCCATCCCCACCTCATCATAAGCAAAATGACCTTGAGCTCCATTTTGCTATCTAATCGCTAATGAAATTCTTAGATCATCTGAGTTTTAGGGCCAGTCAGTTCAAAAATCACCAGTGTTTCCCTGTTGCATATAAAATCCTCATCCTGGCACTTAAAACCCTTTACAACCTGGCTATCACCTAATTTTTCCAACTCTGCTATATATAACAACTCATAGCCTTTTTCATGTTCTAGTCAAACCAGCCTTCAAGCTAGTATTCTCAGATAAGGTTTCATCTCTTCTGGGCCTTTGTTGAATCCAGACCCTGCCACCCCACCTTCCAACAGTGGACTATGCTCCCTCCTTACTTCCACACAGTAGCATCCCTAGTATCCTGACAGGTACAGTTCAAATGCTAGGGCCTTCACTTGGTGGATTATGTCCAATTTATCTTGTATATATCTTGTTTTTGCATAATTGTTTGCATGTTTTCTCCCTCATTACGAGCTCCTTGAGGGCAGGGACTATCTTTTGACCTTCTTTGTAACCCCTCATCTAGCACAGTGCCTGACACAGAGTAGGCACTTAACGAATGCTTGTTAGCTGTCATTGGAGCTCAAATGCCAACTGCTAGAGGAAGTCATTGCTGATGGCCAATGGTGTTACTGCTCTCTTCCTTTTAAATAGGAATAGTGCTGGGAACTGGCACTACAATTTCCTTTGCATAAGGAAGTCCCAAATGAGAAATATGCCTCTTCCAATGAGGGTTAGTACCTTCTCTTCGACTTGCCAGAGCAGTAAGAAGTCAAGTCTCTGCCCAAGGTCACACAGTATGTATCAGAAGTGGGATACAAACCCAGTTCTTCCTGGTTTCAAGGCCAGTTCTCCATCAGCTACCCTAGTGCTTCTAAAATGGACACATCACTTTTCATTAATTTATGTATATCTATCTTATATCCTTTTCCTCCTCTTCCCCTGAGCCAGTTTTTAAGTTTACTGAAGTCAGAGGCTGTTTGATTTTGCTCCTTCTATTCCCAGCACCTGGCACAGAGCTTTGTTCATAGTAGGTCCTTTTTTGTAAAGTTGTAACTATTCTTGTGGTATTGATGTCATATTTGATCCTTGATAAACTAATGGGCCAGCATCTAAAGAGAATGGCCTGGATATCACCGAACACCTCCTCAACCATTCCTAGAATGTGAAGGGGAGGCAGAGGACACTCTTTCTCATTCTATAAAGAAGAAAACAGAGACAAGATTTGCACAAGATCTTTTTCCCAGGACCCCGGACTGTGTCTCTATGGTGCCTGGACTCCAAAGCCATTGTTCTTTCAATGACACTTCAAAGCAGTCATTGAAGAAAGACTACTTCCTATGAGGCAACAAGGTGATTAGTGCACTAATAATGATTAAGAATATCCAGCCCCAAACTTGGATGGGAAAGCACCGTCTGAGGCATAGGAAAACTCCTCAATTAGCCACATCTGTGGGATCCCTCCTGCCCTTTAAAGAGCAGCAAATACCTTGAACAATTGTTATTCTCTGCTAACGAATATTTATGATGTCTTTTACCACCAACCAGGGTTTCATTTGGGTGTTACTCTTAGTTTACAACCCCCTTCATTGTTAGCCATGGAAGAGCAAAGTTACACGAAATGTTGTCTCTCCTTAGGGACTTGTTAGATGCTTCAAACGACATCTGGGGCACATCAGCTATGATTTTGAAATATATTTATTTTAAAGTCATGCAGCAAAATACTGCATAAATATATGCACACAGATACACATATGCACATCTATACATACACATATATACCTATATGTATTCACATATGTGTGTGTGTGTATACACATGTGTGAGGGGGTGTGTGGATGTAGGCAGCAGGGTGGTACATGGGATGGAGCCCTAGGCTTGGCGTCAGGAAGACCCACATTCAAATCTTGTTCAGCCACTTACTAGTTATGTGACCCTGAAAAGTCAACATACTTCTTTTTGGCTGCCTCAATTTCTTCAAATGTAAAATGGGGATAATAATAGCACCTACCTTTCAGGGTGTTTGTGAGGGTCAAATGAGATCATATTTGTAAAGTTCTCAGCACAGTGCCTGATATATAGAAGGTGATTAATAAATGTGTGTTGCCCTTCACATATAGTTATTGTATGTACTTAAAATTATCACATATTGTTATATATATTTATATGCATTCCATCTAAAACACACACATATATGCATGCACATGTATATATGTGTACATATGTGTATACACACATATTTCTTCTCAGTTGTTGAATTCCAGAGTCATTAACAACTGAACCATTCCAGGAGGCAGATGCCTATCTTAAACTCCTTGGCATGCTTCAAGATTAGGAAGAAAGAAAGAGATTACAAATCTACTCTATATATCACACTGGGCAAGGTAATAACTCTAGAGCAATTCCAGAAACAAAATGTCCTGAAACACTCCAATGAGTATTTGCTTATTGTATAAATATGGCATGGGATGAGGGCCAAAAATGCTGCCTCAAATTGCTAATCACTGCATATGCTGTTTAAAAGGTTTTCATTTTTTAATAGCACTCTGAATATGCAGAACGTAGGCACACGGAATGAGAGGTGATGGGAAGTGGTCTATAGATCAGTACTTGGAACTGTTTCTTCTCATCCAAAGCTACCTTCTCCAAAGGGCCTTTTCTGTTTCCCCCAGCTGTTGCTACTTCTCCTTATCTTCCCAAGCAAAATTACTTTGTATACATTTTGCATTTACCTACCTGCATAACCTAGTAGAATATAACCTTCTTGAGGGCAGGACTAGTTTTGATCTGTTCTTTGTATCCATAGCGCCTAGCACAGGGCTTGGAGTTTAGTAGGTGTTTAATAATAAGTGCTTATTTAATGCAATTGAACAGGCAGTCTCTACGTCTTCCTACCAGTGGGATTTGTGTAGAGGTACACCACAGTGGCAGGAGTTCATACTGCACCACTGATACTGGACAGATTTGAAACTCCAGGGCTCCAGAACTCATTTCTTTTTTTAAATTAATGATACTCTGCTTTTTATGTCCAAAACTTTTGACATCTGACCCTTGCCCAAGCTTGGATGTTTGGCATCAGAATATTACTCTAAGTGCACAGGTGTTCTCAGAATTAAAGTTTTCTTCTGTTTTCTCTCTTTCTTTTTTAATCGTGTTTTACTGATACCTTCTGTTTCATATCCAGTTCTTTCTTGATAAACCTCCACACTCATGCCTCTGAGCCCTTTCTTTTAATCAAGAAAAAGAGTTCAGTAAAAGTATACATGGTTTTTTAAATGCCTTTCTATAACTACTTTCACTGTACCTTTGAGATTAGTTACTGCCTGATTTCCTTCCATTTATTCTTTTCATTTATTAAATTAAATGTATAACAACTTAAAGCACCCTCTCTCACACATCTTCAGATGTGAGATGAATCTGCTTAATAAGGTTGCTCAGGAATCCCTGCTTGTTAACCCTTAGCCTTTCTTCACCTACTTGTTCTTCAAACTCATTAACTCCCTGGGACTAAATTCGTGAGAAGACCTAAAGCCATCTGGCCTAATCCTGACAAGACTTCAACATTCTTTAATGCTACAGTCAAATAGGTGTTTAAAATTGATACTAAACAGTCTGAAATCATTTAAAATGCCTTAAATAGCAGCTAACTCTCTCCTTCCATCCTGACAACCTGGACAAAAAAGGAAAAAAAAATGAGTGGTGATCAGTGTCTGAAAGTCAATGATCATGAGCTATACCAGACTGCTAAGAGCTGGTTGATAGGGTTAGGAGGGAAAAGGGGAGGGGAACAGCTGTAAATGAACATCTGGCTTCTAGCTGAAACTAGGAACCATTTGCTTACATGTTCTAGCCAAATGGACAGAGGAAATAGCAATTTATATCTCCATGACAGGAAATTTCTCTCCCTTCCTTACTGAGGATCATTAGTGAAAAGTCAGGAAAGAGGTCAAGGCTAATCATATGTGCCTTTACAAAAACTCACACAGCCACACTTAAAAACCCAAATATGGAGTAAGAGGGTTTGACACAGATCATGGCCCTTTTTCATTCCTTGTTTTAGTTGAGAAGTTCTCAGTCCTAGATAAAGGACTATACTTCCATACCCACAAAGACATAAATATAAATCACATGTGTCCATGAATCTACATACAAGTTATCAGAATTTCCCATAAACCCTGTATATGCTATAAATTGTTCTCTGCTTAGAGAGGCAATTTTCTTTCCAGAAATAAAGGGAGCTTTAGGCAAAAAGGTCCAATGCCCTCATTCCTAAATCAATAACTGACCAATAGCTCCCAAGAGCATCACTGGAGGTTCTCTCAAAGTACATGAGGGTGATGCCCTGCTTGTAACCCCAGGAAGAATCCCTCCACAAATTCAAAGCTAAAATCAAAAGCAGGCCCAACCAGCAAACTTAGAGGAAGCTCATTTCCCTGCATGGACCCACTTGAACACACTGCTATGAGCTTTCCAAAGCACGTGAAGGAGAATGCTATTACCCAAAGCCCAGCAGGCAGATTGAGACATCTAACTGATTGCTCCCCGAGCCAGATGCCATTTGCTGTTGGAAGTTCTTAACACAGACAAAAAAGAGACACAACTCAACAAGCATAACAGAACTGAACAAGGCTTCGGACGTGCTTTGCAAAATTGCTGATGAACCCAAAGTACAAATGAAGTAAGCCTAACTTTCCCAAGCCAAAAATTACCGTTCCCACCACCCTCCAAAAGAAGGTAACATCAGGAAATCATTAATCCAACTCGGAATCATCTCATGACCATGTCGTCGCAAAAGGCAAGCCGCTGATCCAAACGCATCTGGCTTACCTTGGCCATCTGTGCCTGTACGCCATTGGCCTTGAGAGATGCTACCGCTTTCTGTGCTGCAGCCGGACTGTCAAAATCTACAAAGCCATACCCTGTGGGAACACAAAAGCCATTGTTAGTGGGTGCTTTCAAGCCACCTCAAGCCAAACTCTCCTTGGGTAACAGCTAATGACATCCTGCTCTGTTGTCATCTGTGCATGTGTCTGGGCTGGTGGAAAACCAGTGCAGGACAAAAATGCTCTGTCATCAACAGTCCTTCTCCTTCCCAATCATTGCAAGTACCTGCTTCAGGAAAGCCATTTCAGAGGTTTTAGACAGAAAGAAAATCATCTCTCATTTCCAGAGTTTGCTCCCTTTGGCCTGGGATTTTTCAGCAGATTGAGTTCCTAAATGAGCTAGCTCGTCTACTTTAATTTCAATAATAAGCCAGAAAATTACTTGACCTTGCCAGAATCCCTTCAGCCCTCTCCCTCAGCCTTCACAACATCTGCTTTGTTAAGAAGGCCAGCTTATTCACTTCAATTCAGGGGGAAAAAAAATAATGTTAAATGCATTCTATATGCCAGGCATTGGAAATACAAAGACAAACTGAAATAGTCTGTGTTATTCCAGGGAAAAACAACGTGTGTAAAGATAACAATGGTTAGCCTAGAGTCTGTGATTTCATTGGTATAGGGAATTCCCAGGTAAGGAAACTCTCTACCAATACAGATGGCACCTTCTCTGAAACTCATAATCTTAGAGACTTGTCTTCATATTAAGTGACTCAAGAGTAATATAGGCATTATGTGTCAGAGGTGGGTCTTCCTGGCTTTGATTCTAGCTCTCAGCTACCCTATACTGACTTGCAATACACAGACAAGGAAATACTAATTATATGCAAAGTCAATGCATAGTAATGTTGGTGAAGAGAGTATTGACCCCTACACAGATCTAACTTGCAATACACAGACAAGGAAACACTAACTATATGCAAAGTCAATGCATAGTAACGTTAGTGAAAAGAGTATTGACATCTACGCAGATCTAGAAGTGCCTCAGGAAGAAGGTATGCCTTGAGGGGAGCTTTGAAGGGTGCTAGCAATTCCAGGAGGCAGGGGTGAGGAAGGAGGGTATTCTATGCAGGGGAGACAACCTGGGCAAAGGCGTGGAGATTGGGAATGAGATATTTTACGCAAGGAAAAGCAAGAAGACCAGTTGGACTGGAATGTGACAGGAAGAACGGCAAATGAGGCTGGAGACATTACTAAGGTCTTTAAATGACAAGAAGAAAAATTTGTTCTTTTACTCTAGAGGCAAGGGGGAGTCATGATAGCTTCTAGAACAAGGTAGGAAGCCAGGTTAGGGAGATGCATGAACCCAGCCAGAACAATGCTCAGGAGCCCACGGCCATGACTATCAGAGGAAAACCCTTAGTGCTGTGAGCACCACCATGTTGATGTCACACAAGACATCTGTGTCTCTGCCCCATCAAGTGCCATCTAATTAGGACTGGTTAACAAGTGAAATCATTAGACCATCATTTTCCCCCCTGATTCATGTCCATCATTTTTCTGCTAGTGTGCTGTCTGAGGCATGGAGATTCTCCTGTTGTCCCTCCATGGGCACATGCCCATGCATACATACAACACACACACACATACACACAACACACACATACACATATGCAAGCACGAACACACACACACACACACACACACACACACACACACACACACACACCCCTCTAAGAACTAGTCAGTCCCATAGAGTCTGAGCATATATTTACAGTGACAATCATGCTCATCTACATTTCAAGTCCCAGGCCCAGGCTGAGCCTAAAGGAATCTTAACAGCCAAGACAATTGCAAAAGGAAAACCCCACAGGGATTCTACTCCTGCAGCATCACGGAAAACAACCTTCATCAACCACCCCTTTCTTCTGTCAGTAAATACTTTCCTCCTCCGTTCTATCCCTCTTCTCATTTGGCACATGCATATCTAGCGCTAGAAGCAATTTCAATAGCTGTGTGTTGTGACTCCTCCCTACCCTACTCCCCCCCCAAAAAATAACCATGGAAAAGTGCAAAGGAATTCAATTACCAAGTTGTTTCTCTTAATTAACTTCTTAATTTTCTCCCTTTGGATCCTTTCTCCTTTTATTCCTTCCCTCCTAGTATGTTATTCCAAAATGGATTTCTTACACAGCAGTGGGCTGTAAAATACTCTCTGAAATGGCTCTGGAAAAGTGGTGAAGTTTGTGTTTGAGCTCAAGAAGACGGACTGCCCTTTGAGGAATGCTGGGAATATATCCTCTTACTCCAGCGGGGAGCGCTCAGCAACATCAAGGGTAAGAAGAAAAGGAAGATTGGCCTGAATGGGCACAGGGGGACAAACAGAGGAGCCTGTTCTAGGGAAAACGTACCACATGCTACTTCTGGTAACTTCTAAAGTCAGGTGGGCAGAAAGGAATCCCAGAAAATTCATTATTGTTTTGTGAGAAAGGAATGGAGTAAAACTAGGTGGCACAGCGGATAGAGCAGCAGGCCTGGAGACTGGAAGATTTGAGTTCAAATCTGGCCTCAGACACTTACTAGTGGGGTGACACTGGGCAAGTTGCTCAACCCTGTTCGCCTCAGTTTCCTTATCTGTAAAATAAGCTGAAGGGGGAAACGGCAAACCACTCCAGTATCTCTGCCAAGAAAATACCAAGTGGGGTCACAAAAAGTGAAACAGGACTGAAATGATTGAGCAGCAAAAACAAAACAACCACAAAAACAATTCCAGGGGCGGGCTTTATAAGGATCAGAGACTGGAAGCCTGAAGGGACCTCAGCAATCAGCCAGTCTAACCTTTCATTTTATAAATGGGAAAACCGAGTCCCAAAGTGGCTAAATTAAGTGCCCGATGTTACAGGGCTAGTCAGTATTAAGGAAGGATTTGAATACAGGTTTTGCTGAATACAGGTCTCCCATTCTAAGAACTATGTGATACTGCCTAGCTCAATTAGCATCTAATTATGACTTTTAGTCTATCAATTCCAGTTATACTATTGAGGTGAGGCTTGGGCAAATGATGTTTCACTTCAATGCGACTCAGTTTCCTCATCTGTTAAATAAAGTCAAAGTTGCTGCCATTACCTCAGGAGTATTTCTATATGGATTAAACTTTTCAACCTGGCCCCCAAAAAGCATTCCAATTGCATTATGCATGGGTCCCCTTCCCTCATGTCACAGTTCAACCAAACTGGCAAGTAAGTAGTATAGTACATAGAGCACTGGGTCTGGAGACTTCTTGAGTTCAAATCTGGCCTCAGCCGTTTACCAGCTGTGTCCTTGGGGAAGTCACTTAATCTCTGTCTTCCTCAACTATGAAATGGGGATAAAAGAGCCCCTGTCTCACAGGGTTGTCCTGAAGATCAAATGAGATCATATTTGTAAAGTACTTAGCATGGTTCCTGGCCCATAGTAGGCACTTAAAAATGCTCATTTCCTTCTTTCCTTCTCTTTCTCACACATAGCATCTCCCAACTCTGTGCACTGGTACTGGTCATCTCCCTGGAATGTCTTCCCTTTTAACCACTGCCTCATAAAATGCTACTCCCCTCCATATTTACTCTGCATGTTTTTCTCTCTATATATATATTCTGTTCTCCTTCCCCAACCCCCAAAAGACTATAGACTCCAGGGGAGTAGGACAGAATTCACTTTCTTTTTCATCTCCGGAACATAGTAGAGGCCAAATGCTGATTGGTTGATAATTGATTGACACGTTAGCATAGGTAGAACAGTAGTATATAAAGGTTTCAAGTGCTAGCACCAGGGCCCTCCAGGCAGGGGCTTTCTTTCCTGGACACTTTACAGAACTGTCTGCCTTTCCTCCAATTCAGGTTTCTCCCTCTGGCTCTTTTCCTTTCCTTCCACCCCCACATGGTACACAGGATATTACAAAATCTCTACACTGATCTCCAGGGCTGAAATCCAATCCAAACAGAACAAATCCACCATGAGGACCTTCCATTCCCCAAGCTTTCTTAACATCCCAGAAGCAGGAGGAGAATTATGGGATGCCCCACAGTCAATAAGAGAGGAAATTATTTTTTTTTAATTTTTTAAAGTCACAGCATAGCATGGGCCATGTGGGAGACATGACACAAAGCCACTTATATACAATGCTCATTTTCCATATTTATGCTTTATAGACAGTGGGGACCTCAAGAGCCCACCAGGAAATGTGTAAAGAAAAGTGAAATCATTGGATGTAAACTATGCCATAGAGCTGAGGGTCCTTCGTAAATATTTACCGTGGAAAATTCAAATAGGAAGGCTCAGTTCATGTGCAATCCTTTAAATACTTCACCTCTAGAAATAAAAAACACATTCTCCAGTTGCTCAAGACAGCATGCACTACATTATAACCAGACGGAAAAAAAAGAAAATCCTTAGCTTCCCCCAGAGAATATTTATCCTTTCATAAAGAAATAAAGCCACTTGCTGCTGTTCACTCCACGTTGTGCATTTCCTTTCTGCCAACAATGGAATTTGGATGAATGAGGACCCATGTCTCTGAATTGCTGAGGGAGGGCTTAGCAGAGTCCCCTCCACTAGGAGGGTTTTCTCGCTCAGGACTGAAAGGACCCACCATCGAGCATGAACAAGATGCTGACTTTCTCCTGCCACCACCTAAAAGGCTGGGGGGCCTCTTGGTCTCAGTTTCTCAATTACATAATTAAACTTGGCAGCAGGTTCAAATGAATTAAAACTGAATGTCACTGTTTTGTCAGCACCCCCCGGTCCTTGTTTTTTCTCTTCCTTGTCGGGAGAAGGCCAGCTGAACAGCAATTAGCGAGAAACAGAGCAGTGAAAAAGAACCAGCTCGGTGCTAATTAGGTCACTTGCCAAATGTATTCATTCCATTGGCAGATTTAATCAATGTTTTCCTAAAATGCTTTAAATCTTGTATGCCAATTTAAAGTTTTGCTATTATTACAGCTTTAAACACAGATGGGAAGCTGAGTGATTCGCAGGGCTGTTTGCCTAAAAAAAAAAAATACAAATAAAGAGAAAGGCATTTGTAAATGGCAATGAACCCTCTTTGCACACAGTTAATGCCA